TAAATTAATGCGGAGAGGATGGGGTAGAAGCTTCGATTTCTGTTTATCTTCAGCAATTTCAACTAAAACTGGAATGAATTTTCTTTCAAATTTATTGCTCCGGAAATTAAAGAAAGTTTACGAAAGAAAATGGCTTCGGGGAATGTAGTAACACGAATAATATTACGATGGATAACAGTGAAGGAAGCTAACATTCGGTTTTACCATTAAGGATCCCATTAAATTATTATTTATTGGCTTTAATCTAGAAAAATTAAATTATTAGAATCAACTCAACAGAAAACCAGTAATGATCATTGATTGTTAATATTTATAATCCATTTATTGACCTCCTCAAAGGCCTTTGCCCTATGAACTTCACCCAGGAGTTCAGAGAATCGTAAAACTTTCATAAAAAGAACAACAGTCTGAAGTTTTCTCCGAGGGGGATTTTCTATTATGTCGCTGCGTTTTCATTGCTGATTTTTATCACGGGCCACATTGAAAATTTACGAGTTTTCACAGCGCATAAATTCTGCGCCGTTTGCCAATTTTTATTATCTGCAAAATACTTTATGCGCATCTGAGGAATATTCGAGAGTAGGGAGCATCTAATGGAAACATGAACCCAAATTGAGACGCTTTGCATAGACCAAAGCAATCATCATACCCTCGACTGAAGTCGGGAAACTTCACCAGGGAAAAACGCGGAAAATGAGTCAAGAAGTAATGATAAAAGGTGAAAAATGCACTTAGCTGGAGGAAAAGCAGAAAATGCTAAGCGTAACTTATTATGGAGGATGGAGGATGGAGGAAGGGAAAGCCCAGGAAAAGAAAACTTTCCGCGGAAACTTCAGTTGCATGTGTTGCATACTTTGTGGCGCTCCAAAGAAAGCATGAGAAATGAGCAAAGGGAAAATGGAAAACACTGCTAAATTTCATACCCAAGTAAACGGGAAAAACAAATTTTTAATGTCCCTCATAGGAGAGGAAAAATAGGAAAAAGTTTCTTCTCCGATTGCGATGCAAAATGTTGTCACTTTGTATCCTGACAGCCAGGATCATCAATCGCTGCTCTCTTTTCCTCTGTCAGCAAAGGATCCCTCAGCAAAAACTTAAGAAAAAGAAGACTTTTTTGTGCCGATAAATTTTCAATTTCCGTCCTGAAATTTGCAATTTATTTTACTGCAGCAAGCTAATTTTACCATTCTCACAAAAAAACAAAGTTGCTTTTTTGTAAGTCACTTTCAGGGAGTTTCCCAAGGTGCAGTTTTCCACACAAAAGTTTATCGAGGAACATAAATACCCAGCAAATTGCATTGTCTGCTCCCAGGATTGCACTTTATTAGATAAGCAAAATAAAAGGTAAATATCTGCCGGGATTCCCTGCAATCCTTTGACAAGTAAACAACTGGAAAAGTTCGCCCTCCAATTTCCCCCATAAGGAAAGGCATTTTCTCTCAATGGGGCTGTCAGCAATTTGATTTGATTTGCAGACTCTACGAAAATATTTCATAAATATTTACTCACAGTTTTTCCTCGATTTTGAAGCACTTTTTCTGGTTTTTCCTCCTTATCGCAGAGCGAATATTTGCAACTGTGAAAATATTTTTCGCGCTTTCCGTTTGTTTTTCTCCTGCTACTTTGTAGTGCAAATATTTTCCACCATTTTTTCCACTCATTTGCCTGAGTGGGCGTGTCCGAAATGGGCGTGGCTGTTTGTTTTCCTTTGATGTGCTAAATTGGTGCACCGATTGCATTTGAAATGAGATTTGATCGCCTTGAAATCAGGAGAAGTTAGCTTGAAATGGGGTTACGGAAAAAGGATAAGGGAAGGCCCTTAGTTTGCATACTTAACTCTCGGAGCAGAGATTCTTACTTGCTTTCCCCCTTTGGGACAATATCCATTTGATTTTAACGACTTGCCAGCAAAGTTTCCCCGCAGGCAACTCGAATCCTTTTCCAAGTGAAACATTAAACTTTGCCCCATCAGAGAAATAGGGATAACAATAACATGGCGAAGGATATCGCAGACGCGAAAGGCAGTCAGGATAATGGCCAAACAAGACATGACAGCAATGAGAGAAAACATTTTCAATAATCCCAAGGAAAGAGTTAAAGCCGCGACTTTTTTGTAGCATTTTGTTCCCTTTTTTGGGGCATCCCAAAAATATATTTTCATGGCCAATTATAAGCTTTGAATCACTTAGCAAGTGCCTAGCCAAACGAAAATGCCAAGCAGTAAGGAAAAAAAGGGGAAAAATCGTATTGAAATAGGCATTTAAGGCAGCCACGACCACTCTCTACCCAGTCTGAGTCACTCCTAATAGAATTTATCTAATTAACTCATTCTAGGCTTATTCTTTAACACCCACTTCCAATTTACTTTTTTTAATCCCCTTTTGGAGGGATTCTGCCAGCTCCGTTTGAACTTGGTAAATGGAATCCTTTACAGCCTCTAATTATGCCAGTTGGCTAAAAATGCGAGTTGCGTTGCCTAATTGCAGGCGACTGGTTCGAAGGCGGCTCACGTGGCGTATGCGCAGCTTGGGAGAAGTTTCACGTTTTTGCCTTTTAGGTGTTGTTTCTTGGCGCCTTATTTTTAATGAAATCACGCACGTTCCTTGGGGGAAGAAAAGAGGAACGCGAAGCAAAGAAAATACGTGGAGAACAAGCAGGAATGCATCCAAATTGTGCGTTTGACGCTTGAACTCTGCGTTTAATCAGCGATTAAGTTAGGGGTAAAGGGAATAATATAGAGGGTGGACTTGCCACACAATGAAGAGTGGAATCTGCAGTAACCTCTCCTACAATTATTATATCCTTGTATCCTTGTTCTTCTGCAATCGTTATGTGGTTTCCGAGTGCCTCCAAAGATGAGAACTTCATTCAAGGGAAACGCAAATCCACAATTGTCGACCATTTTGTGCTTAATTAAGCTCAAACTGCAAATGGTTAAAGTCACTTTTCCTCACAATGGAGAAAAGGGAGATCCGTTTAGCCATGCAAATTGGAATGTCTAAACACCTGAAAGGATCCCCGCTATACTGCATTGTGTCCTTCTGTTTACTCCCAGTTTGTTTGCTGTGGTCAGCAATTAAAAATTCAAACTACGGTGCCGAGAAGTGCTTCACTAATTCTGATTGCAAACTGTGTAGCGAATGTCCCCGAAGGACCCACAAAGGACACCCCGAGGATGCGGCTGAGCTGCTCTCAATTGTTATGAAAATGCGGTTTGATAGTGGAATGAATCTGCTTAGAAATTTACAAGCAAGAGAAGTGGGAAAGTGCTTGAGTATTAATTGAAATCTGTTTGGGCAGCAATTCAATTGGAACTAAGTCTTTAAACATGGACAGTGGATTTTCCACGTAATCAGATTTAAAGGTGCTTCCTTTAAAGCGTGGGTTCCCAACAGAGAAACCGTTCAAGAAAAAATACTCGCATTCTGTCAAAAACAAACTTGAAGGCGTTGCTAAAAAGCACTTCTTAAAAAAAGGAAAAGCTGAAATTTTCAGGGGAAAAGCCAGTTACAGGTGACAGCTGGTAAAAGTTTACCACCTAACATAACTGCCAAAGAGAAAGGGAGTTGCAAAAGTGTTAACTTTGCAACAGTGTCAGAAACTGCAGGCGCATCGGGAAAACAAGTTAAAACCATTCGAAAGTTTGTTGAGGCCATTAGAGTTGGGGTAAAAAAGAGGATGTCAAGGGAGATAGATGTCCAAGAGACTGCCACTCCGATAAAGGTAACTCGGTTATTGACAAGTATCAGTTATCAATTCAACCTAATTAATCAGAGGGTCTATCAGCCATTCGAGTACAAGGACTTGAACGCCTGGCTGGACATCAACCATTATCCACCACTCAGCTCGGATTCTGCGTTCATATTTCAGCAGCTCATTGAAGCATCAAACTTGTCGTCTGCCACACTAATTAAATGAAATTTCATTTGCACAACTTGGGAAGATTTCCAGGGCCTGCACTAGCCATCAGATTGAAAGGCTTTCGAGAGGACTTCTTCCCACAAGTCAAACACTCGTACTCCGCTTTTATCTCCACGAGAACTCTCCAGATATGAAGTGAAATGTGCTGGGGATATTATCGCACTCGAAGCTTTTCACAGATTTCGGTTGAATTGCAATGAGAGGCCGTTCTCGAGGTTGTTTTCAGGTTTCCTTTTCGGCCTCTCCAAATTATTTTTTACGAGCCTGCCATCAGAAATGACCCAACTAAGTGGGGTGAATTGGGGGCAGAAAACTTCAACTGAACTTCAACTCCATGTCCATCCAATTAATTAAATGATTTAATCGCAGCAAATGTTGCTCGCATTATGAGCACAAAAGCCTATGAAGCGCTTGTACACTAGTTAACAAACATCGGCAAGGTTATGCATACACTAAAACCTTACACTTAGTAAAGTAGCAGAACATGTTGCTTCGAAATACTTAAAGGAAATATTACAAATCTTACGCAATCTATATTTAAGCTCGTTTATTCCAATTTATAGGTTTTGTTCATGAAATAATTTCCTGAATTAATATAATATAAATAAAATATAGATAAGTAAAAAATTAAGTATTTTTACAATCTACTGCTTGTTGTTAAGCATATTTTATAATATTTATCTAGAAATGTTTGAATTGGACTAGCTGTAAGCAATTTTATTAAAACAAGAATTTTTAGTTGATATAAATTTTGTTTGATCAAAGTGTATGATTCTTATATATTCTATTACAAATTTCGTTAGTAATATTTAACATTATATTGTTTTGCAAAGCTGCATTTCCAAATGTTATTAATTTTGCAGTGGTCGAAGTGATACCACTTTGCAGTCTTCGAACTTAATTTGTTTTTCCCAGTGTATGGGTGGCGATATGTTTGCTGGTCAGTATGCGTAATCCCTTCATCAGCAATTCCCACACCATAGGCGCAAGACATTTGTACATCCAACCAACCTTATCGCCGCTTGCACTCGTCGGTGGACTCCACTCCTCGACACTCGAGGTTGAATCCCCGGCCCGGAATGTTCCGCCCCAGTGGAAGTGGCTTCCGCCAGCGGATGGCTGGCCTCACATTGAAGGGTGCTCTGTATGCCTCGTGGATCCTGGGCGTGTTCCCCTTCACCTACGACAGCTGGACGAGGAAATTGCATCGTTCCAAGTGGCTAATGGCGTATGGCCTTGTCTTGAATGCGGCATTCATTCTGCTGGTGGTTACAAATGACACGGAGAGCGAAACGCCGATGAAAATGGAGGTGTTCCACAGGAATGCCCTGGCAGAGCAGATCAATGGGATTCACGATGTTCAGAGCCTTTCAATGGTTTCCCTGGTGCTGCTAAGAGCCTTCTGGAAAAGCGGAGATATAGAAAGGACCTTGAACGAACTGCTGGATCTCCAACATCGCCACTTTCGTCATTATTCTTTGGAGGAGTGCAGGGGCTTCGACAGATCAGTCCTAATTAAAGGTGTCGCTGTGATCCTGGAAATTATATCCATGTTGATTTTGGAACTGGGAATGTCGCCAAATTTCAGTCGTCAGCTATTCGTAGGAGTAACTAGCTTGTGTTTCATGTTACTTGCTGTTCTCCTGGGAGCCACACACTTTCACCTGGCAGTGATGTTTATCTACCGATATGTGTGGATTGTGAATAGGGAACTGCTCCGGCTGGTAAATAACCTGGCGAATGGGGAAACTGTGGAGTCTGCCAGGGTGGACTACCTGCTCGATCTGTACCATCGCCTTCTGGAACTCAGCGATCGACTGGCCTCCATCTACGACTACCAAATGGTCCTGGTGATGATCAGTTTCCTGCTCGCCAACGTTCTGGGCATCTACTTCTTCATTATCTACTCAATTACCCTCAATAACGAGCTGGATCTTAGATCAGTGGTCTTTTTCCAGGCATTGATTATCAATATGTTGGATTTTTGGCTCAGCATTGAAGCTTGTGATTTGGCGGAGAGAACGGCAAGGCAAACTTCCACCATACTGAAGTTATTCAATGATATCGAGCAACTAGATGAGATGGTGGAAAGAAGTGTAAGTCTGACTGCTTTACGCTTACTTATTTGAAATTCTATTGTATTACTTTGCTTAGATCTCCGATTTTGCCCTATTCTGCACTCACCGCAGGTTGAGATTCCATCATTGCGGCTTGTTTTACGTCAACTACGATATGGGATTCCGCATGGCCATCACCAGTTTTCTGTACCTGCTGTTTCTCATCCAGTTTGATTATAGGAACCTGTGAAGCAGGCATATTAAAGAGACCCTGCTGGAAGAGTCCTCTAATTGGTTCGCACTTTCTTGTGTCGTCTGGAGTCGAGGGTCCTCGAAGGGGGAACTCAAAGGACCTACGAGTGACAGCTCAAGATGTTGGGGGACTTTTAAAAGGGTGAAAGAACAAGTGGGATATGTCCCCGGGATACAAGGATTCGTGTCTGAGTAAAAGTCTTGTTGACTTTTCCGTTGAGGGAACGGGAACACGGCCGCAGGACATCAGGGTGAAGAAATGCAGCCATAAAAGAAGGAGTATTTATATCCTCCCCAAAAAGGAGACTATGCAAAAGCCAAAAGTAGAATATGCACAAGTCAAAAGGATTCGGAGAAATGGAGTGGCTGTGAAAAGCAGCGCAATTAAGACCAACAAATGAACGAGTTTTTTATTTTTTGGCTAGCTAAGAATGCAGCAGGATTTTCCGGCGAACAATGGCTGCGGAGAAAATAGAGAAAAGCATAAAGCAGCAGCTAGCACGAGCAGCTTTTGGTGTATTTTCTTTGTTCGACTCTTGTGTGTTTCTCAGTGTGTGCTCTGCTAATTTCACTGACTGCGATTTCCCAGCTGTTTCCACACTTCCCTTTTCTAACTGCTTGTTTTTTCTGATTTATTATGCTTTTGCCGCGGATTTCCATTCAAATAAATGCATGTTGTTTAGAGCGTATATTCACTTTAATTGCGGGGAGTATAATTGCAATAAATTAGAGCATTTATCATGAAGTAAAAAATATTGCATGGTAAATCATTTTATTTCTATGTTTAAATAATATTTTATATTTATTACTAATAGATTAAGTCTATGTAAATAATAAATCCACAAATAAATAAAAATGCTCTATTCTTTTGTAAGATTAATAGTTTTTAGAAAACTCCAAAAATTCCAATTCTACTTTACAATTTCTAAGCTGAATATTTCCTGATAAATGTTGCCCTCAATCTTTAGGACTTAAACAATTATAGAGAATGGCGAAGCCCACTTTATAATATCCAGCCTCTCCAGAGTCATTAAAATCCCTTGGAACAAAAGCCATTAAAGTGCTAGGCGCCTGGATAAAATCCAGTTAAACAAGAAAGGAAAGCTAACTTCGGGCGGAGCCGAAGTTGAAATACCCTTGCAGAATATTCTGCAAATTATATTCTCCAAAATTATTCATATGATGCGTTCTTAATTCTCATAAAAAATCCCAACTTTCTAACTTTAAAAACACCAAAGTTATGGCATTTCCAATCGTTCAGTTATGTATATGGCAGCTATAGAATATATTCGGCCGATCCTTATGAAATTTGATATGTCGGATTGATTGGGCAAAAATAAAACCCATAGAAAATCCCAACTTCCTAACTTAACAAACACTAAAGTTATGGCATTTCCGATCAATCAGATATATGACAGCTATAGGATATAGTCGGCCGATCCTTATGAAATTTGGTACGTCGGATTGATTGGCCAAATATAATACCCATAGAGAGTCCCAACTTCCTAACTTAACAAACAGCAGAGTTATGGCATTTCCGATCAATCAGTTATATGACAGCTATAGGATATAGTCGGCCGATCCTTATGAAATTTGGTACGTCGGATTGATTGGCCAAATATAATACCCATAGAGAGTCCCAACTTCCTAACTTAACAAACAGCAGAGTTATGGCATTTCCGATCAATCAGTTATATGGCAGCTATAGGATATAGTCGGCCGATCCCGGCCGTTCCGACTTATATACTGCGTGCAAAGGAAATAAGGGTGTGTGCAAAGTTTCAATTCGATATCTTTAAAACTGAGAGACTAGTTCGCGTAGAAACAGACAGACGGACAGACAGACGGACAGACGGACAGACGGACAGACGGACGGACGGACAGACGGACAGACGGACAGACGGACAGACGGACAGACGGACATGGCTATATCAACTCAGGAGGTGATCCTGATCAAGAATATATATACTTTATAGGGTCGGAGATGTCTCCTTCACTGCGTTGCACACTTTTGACCAAAATTATAATACCCTCTGCAAGGGTATAAAAATCAACACTTGAGGCTGCGGATAATCCGACACTTAGCCACTTATTGACAGAGGTCAACCGCTGTCAAGGCCAGAAAGTTCAGCAAACCCTGGAATCGCGGCCATTAGCCTCGATTAGAAGTCGATGGGAGGAAGACAATGCCAAGGGGGACATCACCATCGGCGGTAATAAAAACAACTACAAAGCACACGTCGCTCACAGCAAAAGTGCGTAAATTGATTTTTATTATCCCTAGTCCTCCGCCCCTCCACTTCACTTCACTCCACTCCAATCCACCAATTTCCCCCTAGCCACTTACCACTTACCCGATTCCTATATCCATTCAGCTTGGCTCAGCAAAAAGTTTCGGGCCACATTTCCTCCCTTTTTCCTTGGGCCAATATATTTGATTTATTGGCTTTATCCGGAATGCGCGCAAATTGTTCATTGCTTTGTTTACACCATAAAAATCCTGATGGACGCATTAGTTCGCCAAAATGTTCCATCGCATGCTCATGAGCTGGGCTCGTAAATTTCATCGATAATTTCCGCTCTCATTCTGTTTTTGTCTGGCGGAATATTTATTTGTTCAGGCATTATTTTATGAGAATATAAAAATCACTCAGGGAGAGGAATATATATTTTATTAGGCACCTAAATTAAATTATGTGTAATAGCTTTCAAATTATCCAGTCATTTGGACCTATGTTCTTAGGGATAGAAATCTTTGTAAGTGATTTTAGGAAATTCCTGATGTTTTTCTTTTTTAATGGAAAATGCAATATTATATAGAAAACATTATTAAAGGGCAAACGTTTTGTTCATAAATCAGATAAGAGTTTCGTACATCCCTTTACACTTTTCTGACATCAAGTTCACCTCAATTTATAACCTGTTCAGCAAATTAATTAAAATTTGCCGCCAGGCTTTCCACAAGATTGGGCTGAGTATTCATTTGTTGTAATTAGGGAGCGGTCGAAACTTTTTCTTTGCTCTCCTTAGGTAAAGGACGTTCAATGACCCAAAGGATGGCCAACGGCTGCAAATGAAGGGTCAAAGTTTATCAGCAGATTTTTAATTTAAATTTATATGTTTTCCAGCAGCCGCAATTTGGGGGAGTAAATTTGATAGACTTTGAACTTCAAGGGAAGCAGTTAATGAAAGGGAAACCCTCAGCCCTTTCCCTAATTACGATAAATGCCCGCCAATTGTTCCATCGATTCGAGCCGACTGCCTTAATTAGTTTGCCAATGCGTTATAATTTTGGCCTCCAGCCCTTAATTTATATAAGCCGGTCGAGGAGAAGGAGCTCTTGCCAAAAACTTTGGCTTAGAAAAGTTTGCGAAATTAAATAATTGCCAATTTGCTGCAAGTTGCTGGCAGTTTAAACAACAATTCAGCGACGAGCAAAGCCGATTTGTGTCTTAGGCTGAAATTCAACTTTCGGAAGGAGGAAAAGAAGATGGAAGGAAGCCAGGAAAAGCCGGGCAATTAGTGGAAAGTCTGTCTAAATATTGTATCTGCAGAATATATAGTTTGCCAAAACTTTAATTACACTTGGCTAAGAAATAAGAAATAAGAAATGCAGAAGATGCTGACAGAACGTCGAACTAGAACTTTGAATTACTTTTAAATCAGATTATTCTATTCTTTAGTCTTAGCTAAAGTTTAGCAAAAAACGAAGCTAACAAGCAAACAGATTGATTTATATTCAGTAACCACCCCTAAAGTGGTTCTTATTTACCAATATGTTTATATTTCGATACTTTCAAGCTAATATTTAAGTAGTGTTGCTAAATTGAAATCGGTTTAGAGCCCAAAAAGGCAATAAAATAAACAAGATGATCCAATAATCGAAGGGAATATAAGGGAGAGATAACCGAACTTATCACTATAAAGAAAATCCATTTCGAGCCTATTTCTGCTGACAGGGCGAATCATCATAAAATGGAAATATTTTTATGAATTTGCTGGCCTCCGTGCAAAATGGTGAAAATGTGCCGAACTCGGCAAAAGCGATGGCCAGATGGCGTAATTTTAATAAAAATATATTGAAAGCTGGCACAAATCGAGATGAGCGAATCGAATTATCTGTAAACGTTGACGAGTCGCCAATGGCAAGAATGTTGACCTAATGCTGACTTCACTGCTGGAATTTTATTGTGTAAACATAGGATCCAAGGGATCCGGGGTATGCCACGTGGCCCAAACAATTGGCGGATGTCCTGGGCCAGGGCAATAAATCAAATGCTTGTGTACACTCGAGTTTATATTTGTTTGCCCGCCGTGCAGATGAGCAGGAAATTTGCCAGAAACTCGAGGGGTTTGGTGGGGGAATCCCCTCCACAGGATAATAAAAATCAATTTACGCGATTGTGTCGAGTGTGGCTGCTGTGCTGGGCCTGTTATCGCTGCTGCTTTCGCTTTGTGCTCTCGATAATCGAAGATAATGGGGCTCTCCCTCGACGAGGGCCAAAAAGGACCTGCCTCTGACAGCCAAGGATGCCAAGGACGAGCATCTTTTGTCTGACTTTTCCTCCGAGCCCCGCTTTGTTGCCCTAATTGTTGCCTGTCAGATTGTAGTTTCGTGCAGTTACCGGGTAACCTAAATGTTGCCGATGTCTGGACAAACGAATAATAGATAAAATAGAAATATAGGCATAAATCAAGCGCAGGTGCTTGGCAAGGGAAATTAGCAGAAGGCACATACACAATTCAATGAACAGACAAAGAAAAGTGCACAACGAGAAAAGCTGAGATTTAACTATAACTTATACTCACAATATTGAAAATTTATATTTCTTGCAAAGAATAATTGTACATATCTTTTTTACTCTGTTATTTATTAATTTATATTTTGTGTTATTTTATATGGTGATATGATAAACGTTTAACATGTGTACTTTTTTGGATGCACGAAACTTAGAAATCTCAATGTAAGCATCTGCCATTGTTTGCTGCAGAATAGTGAAAAGGGGGAATCCCCAGCATTCTTAGCCAGCCAGAAAGCACAAAACTCGTTCATTTGTTGGCCTTAATTGCACTTCTTTTCACAGCCTCTCCATTCCTCAGACGCTTTTGACTTGTGTGTGTGTTTTTGTGAGCTCTACTTTTGGCTTTTTGCATAGCCTCGTTTAAGCCAGATGGAATGGCAAAGGAGTTTGGCTTTTATTGCCGCTGCAGCAGATGCCCTGCGGCCCTGTTCCGATTTTCCTCACATTTTCCAGCTGCAAGTCATTCGCCTTATTCACTTGACGACAACAGTTTGTAGGGCCAGTGATTCAGCCTTTATTGCCATGATGTCACCTGCTTAATATTGCATCTCTCGACTGTGTCTGCCTGGCAAACTTAGTGACAGCTCTTGAGAAAATCCCCACTAATTGAAAGCCTGGGGAATCACAAGTTCATAAAGTCAAACTGCACCAAGAAGAGCAGGTACAGAACGCTTGTGACGAGCATTTCGAAACCCATCTCACGATTCACATGAAACAGTCCACAGTAAAGGAATTTGAATCTGCAATGGCTGCAGTATAAGGCAAAGTTTGATATCTAAGAGAAAAATAGTATAATTGGAATGACTTTTGTAACTACATATATAACTCTACTTACACTTCTCTCTAGCTCCTTATTCATATTCTCAATGTCATTGAATAACTTTAAAATCATTGAAGTTTGTCTGCCAGTTTTTTCCACCAAATCACATACGGCAATGCTCATCCAAAAGTCTAGAAAATTTTTGAGCAGTGCCAGAGGAAACATGATCAGCATTACGAATATGGACATCTGGCTCAAGCTGATTGTGTAGACGATCATATAGAAAGAAAGTATGATGTTGGCTGCCAGATAGAGAACCATCATCAGGGCCGTCTGATAGTCATAGCAATCGGTTAGTCTTCCATAGAGATCCACCAGTTTGCAGTAGAGCTTGAGGAGAAGTCGAACTCTGGAGAAGCTAGCCGAAGGATTGACCCTTAAATAGTTAGCCATGTCGAGGAGTTCTCTGTTAATGAGCCATACAAATCGGTAGATGAAGGCCAGCCCAAGATGAAAGTGTATGGAAAGGAGAACGGTTCCGAACTTGACCAACGAAATTACCAAGACATTCATTATTGGCATCGTTTGATTGGGCATTCCGAGGTGCACCAGCCATGTGGAAGCCACTCCTCCGACAATGAGGAATCCCTTTTGGATCACAAAACTATCGAATTTGCGGCACTCCACAAAATCAGAGCCAAAGTATTTCACTTCCAGTATCAACAGCTCGTTGTATATCTCCTCCAGATTTCTGCTTCTCCAGAAGGTTCGCACATACATGGCACATATGGTCAGCACTCCGACAATTCCCAATAGCAAACTAATTTGATCCAGTACAAAATTCCGCTGAAATACATCCAACTTCTCCTCTCCTTCCTGGGCCTCTCCATCGTGTTTCAACATGAGGAAAATCAGGCTAGAACTCAGGGCAATTCCAAAGACGATTATCCACTTGGAGCGACGTAATCTTCTGGTCTTAGGCTCATACTTAAATGGAAATATGCCAAGCAGCCAGGAACTGTAGAGAATAGAATTTAGGATAAAGTAGACTAACATTTGTCGAAAACCACACTGAGGTCGGAACATCGCTATGTGACTGTTGACTCTGTGCCTGGCAAATGGCCACCATTGCTGAAAATCAATAAAAAGTCAATTTATTAAGGTATTAATGGATGATAAGTAACAACACAAGATAAAATGCGCTTTGAAAACGGGTTAATTAACAAACAACTCATCACAAAATGAACCATTCATGAACTAATTTTATTAAGTAGAAGTTTAACATATCGTCAACCTTGGAAATATTTTTAGCAGTATAGAAAAAGCCTTGCCATTGCCACATATTAGTTAATTGCTATTATTCCAATAGAAGGATTTGATTATATTTTCAAAACGTCACTCCTAACTTAAATAATAACGTCCGATGCTTTAAATTTGTATAAATACATAAGTAATACATAAGTAAGAAGGACATCTTTCAAAACAATTTATGCTAATAAATTTAACAAATTGGCATTTGCTGATATATTTTCTCGCAGTTCGCATTATATATTATATTAAAATTGTAAAAATTTATATTATTATAATTATAACAAAAAGTAAAAATCAAATTTTTAAAGCCACTGAAATGGCAATAAGAACAATAAGAACACGCTAGATGACACTGATTTTAAAAACAAAGTTTTATTTATTTAGTTATTTTCAAGTCAAGCCCATTCTACAAATTCATATAATCAAACTGAACTAAATAGAGCAAATATAGATAGCTAGTAATGATCATTTGGAAACCCATCTTATAATTTACTGAAAAGAGTCCACACAATTGAAACCTAAATTTTCGGTGACTGCACAGCCATGCGAATTCCTTCAACTGTTGGAGAGGGAATATTATTATTTTTTATATAAACTTTCATAAGTACATACTCACACTTTTCTCTAGTTCCGCATCTTTAAGCTCAAGATCGGTAAATAGTTTCAGTATAGTTGCGGTTTTCTTACCGGCTCTTTCAGTAAGATCACATACGGCAATGGTCAACCAAAAGTCCCAAATATTTATGAACAAGGTCTGCGGAAAGACTATCAGGAATATCGACTTTTTTTTCATGCTGACTCCAAACACAATCAAAAAATAGATGATCACAATATTGCCAGCTAAACCACCTGTTAAAATAAGTGTGATTTGATATTCATAGGCCGCCACTAGTTTCTTATTAAGCTCCAAAAGGCGGGTGTATAGGGAAAGAAAGTTTCTAGTCCTTGATGAGTCTGATGTTGGATCCAATTTCAATTGTCTTACGAGACCCAAAAGTTGTTCGTTCATCATCCAGGCATATCGATAGATCAACAGGATCCCAAAAAAACAATGCATGATATTTAGATTGAGGGATATTTGCATTAGGCCGCTCAGAATCACCAAGTACATGGCATAATTATTTCCAGGCATTCCATAGTTTACCGTCAAGAATGATAAAAACTGTCCCATCATAGTCATCGACTTTTGAATCACAAAGCAGTTGAATTTGGGGCAGTTCTTTAGATTCAGACCGTCAGAGTGATACTCCAAGGCTATTAACTCATTTGCAATCTCTTCAACTCTTTTGCTTCCCCAAAAGTTCATAAAGTGCATCACAGTAGCCGAAAATACACTCAATAGTCCAATTATCATGTTTATCCTCTCCAGCAGCGGATTCCGTTCAAAGGCGTCCAGTTTGTGCAACTTCATATTTTCCCTACCCATGTAAAATATAAGGCACATAAAGGAATAATTCGCTATCAAACCATACAGTCGAAGCCATCGTGAGCATCTCAGTTGTTTTCTTCGGGAATCAAAGGTAAAGGGGAACAGTCCAAATATCCAAGATCCATAAAGATCTGCTTTTAGGATGAACCACACCAAATGTGGACAGAATTCGCGACGTGATCCAAACATTTTCGAGTACGAGAGGAAAATGAAATGGTTCAATTAACTGAAGACATATGGAATGTATGTAAAAGCAAGGGAAAGTCCGGAACAATAATAAACCACTTAACAAAGTACTGATGGCTATGAAAGTTAACCAATCTATAAAACCCTTTTAGAGTTATTACTATGGTGGCGAACAGGGAATGTATATGAATGAATTGAATATGAATAAAGGAGAAGCAGAAAATAAAAGAGTAATGGAAAAACTCCCTGGTAAATGAAGAAATATACTATTTTTCTATGATTGCTAACATTTTTATTGAATCGATTTATTTGGGTTTTAATTTTTTTGTGAATATTCGTTTTAACTGGAAAAATAAAAGTCATTTTTGTTAATAGATCTTCATTCTATCAATCATCTGATTTGAATTTTAAATTCATATAATCGAATTGTACCAGGAAAAGCACATATAAAATGTTGGTGATGATCATGTGGAAGCCCATCTCGTAGTTTATATAGAACAATCCACAGTGACGAATTCTTAGCCTGCGATGGCTGCAGAATAAAGTAAAATCAGATATCTAGGAGTAAAAAAAAGGTAAATCAGCTAGGTTTCAGTCGTAAATATATATCAGCTTACTTTTCTTTCCAGTTCGGTGTCCATTCCTTCAATATCGTTGAATAACTTTAAGATCATTGAGGTTTTTCTGCTTGTAGTCTCGACTAAATCGCAAGTGGCGATGCCCTGCCAAAGATCCCAAAAGTTGATGATTAATGCTTGTGGAAAGAGCAGAACCGTGGCTAAAAGCGAGAATCTATTGATGTTGGTCCAAAAGATGACGAGGACATGGCCCACAATAATGTTGGCTGAGAACAGGGTAGCCATAAAAAGAGTTATCTGGATGTCGTAAATGTAGGCGATGCGATTATTAAGGTCCAGAATGCGACCATATAGCCAAAGGAGCAGCCGCACTCGCTCAGGATCCACACTTCCACCTCCTCTCAACCGACTGGCCATCTCCAAAAGCTGTCCGTTGATTATCCATATATAGCGATAAATAAAGATCATCAACAGGTGAAAGTGCATCACCACCATGAGAACTTCCAGCTGGACAATGTAGATGCAGAAAGCCTCCTGCACAGCGGACTTACTCTCGGGGACTCCAAAGTATAACACCAAGGAGGAACCGAGCTCCAGGATTATCACAATACCCTTGTGGATCACATACCTATCGGATTGAAAACAATCTGCAAGGATTAGCTTACTAAAGTGACGGTTTTCCAGCACCAGGAGCTCATTGAGAATCGCAACCAACTCCTTGCTTTTCCAGAAAAGTCGCAGATGGGTCACCACAGTGGTAACGAAGCCTATAGCCTCCACGAGTTGTTCGAATTGCTTCACCAAGGGATTACGCTCAAACACCTCCACCTTCACGGTATTGTGATCATCTGTTTCCGGTAACAAAGACAAGACCATCAGACTTATGTTCAGGATCAAGCCATATGCCAAAAGCCACTTGGAACGATGCAGTTGCCGTTTCCTGGGGTCAAAGGTGAATGGAAAAAGTCCGAGCACCCAAGATCCATAAAGGGTCGCCTTCAGGGTGTAGTGGGCCAAACTCTGGCGAAAGCGGCGTTCGCGTTTCGGTTGTAACATTATTGAAGTTCAACTCGGAATAATTTGTGGCACAGAAATTAGCCATCGGAGCCAAGCGAACACTGAGTGCTGATAGGAAAATGACCGCCAGCCAGATAAGAAAATTAATTATGCATAGGATAGGGACTTTGTGGCTGAAATTTAAGGGTGAAGTGTATTATCAGGCAAATGACTAGAAAATATTAAATTGTATCCGCATTGTTGCACTTAATTTCTTTATCGAAATGGCAGTTGCTTGGAAATATTTTTACCTTTCCCAAAAAACTTTCCAATGGTTTGAACTTGTTTTCCCGATGCGCCTGCAGTTTCTGACACTGTTGCAAAGTTAACACTTTTGCAATTCCCTTCCCCTTTCGCAGTTATGTTAGCTTTTAAACTTTTAGCAGCTGTCACCTGTAACTGGCTTTCCCTGGAAAATTCTTTCTTTTTCCCCCTTTTTATTGGAGCTACTGTTTAGCCACGCCTTAAAGTTTGGTTTTGGCAGATTGCGAAAAACAACAGAGGAGATGTTTTGTTCAGCATTTCCTCTTTTGGGAATCGAGGTTTTGACTACCTTTAAAATCCCCTGTCCAAGTATAAAGAGTCTAAGGCTAAGTCCGAATTAAATTGCTGCCCAAACAAATTTTAGTTAATATTCAGTACTTTCCCTGTTCTCTTGCTTGTAAACTGCTAAGCAGATTCATTCCATTATCAAACCGCATTTTCATAACAATTGAGAGCAACTCAGCCGCATCCTCGGGGTGTCCTTTGTGGGTCCTTCGGGGACATTCGCTACACAGTATGCAATCAGAATTAGTGAAACACTTCTCGGCACAACTGTAGTTTGAATTTTTAATTGCTGACCACAGCAAACAAACTGGGAGTAAACCGAAGGGCACAATGCAGTTTTGCGAGGATCCTTTCAGGTGTTTGGACGTCCTGCGGCTCATCCAATTTGCATGACTTCTCAACTGTGAGCAAAACTGACTTTAACCATTTGTAGTTCGAGCTTAATTAAGCACAAAATGGTCGACAATTGTGGATTTGCGTTTCCGTTGAATTAAGTTCTCCTCATCTTTGGAGGCACTTGGAAACCACATAACGATTGCAGACGAACAAGGAGACAAGGACATTATAATTGTGGGAGAAGTTACTGCAGATTCCACTCTTCATTGTGTGGTAAATCCACCCTCTATATTATGCCTTTCACCCCTAACTTAATCGCTGATTAAACGCAGAGTTCAAGCGTCAAACGCACAATTTGGCGGCATTCCTCCTTGTTCTCCACGTATTTTCTTTGCTTCCCGTTCCTCTTTTCTTCCCCCAAGGAACGTGCGTGATTTCATTAAAAATAAAGCGCCAAGAAACAACACCTAAAAGGCAAAAACGTGAAAGTTCTCCCAAGTTGCGCATACGCCACGTGAGCCGCCTTCGAACCAGTCGCCTGCAATTAGGCAACGCAACTCGCATTTTTAGCCAACTGGCATAATTAGAGGCTCTAAAGGATTCCCTTTACCAAGTTCAAACGGAGCTGGCAGAATCCCTCCAAAAGGGTATTAAAAAAAGGAAATAGGAAGTGGGTGTTAAAGAACAAACCCAGAATGAGTTAATTAGACAAATTCTATTAGGAGTCACACAGACTGGGTAAAGAGTGGTCATGGCTGCCTGAAATGCCCTTTCTTTTTCTTACTGTTTGGCATTTTGGTTTGGTTAAGCATTTGCTAAGTGATTCAAAGCTTATAATGGGCCATGAAAATATATTTTTGTAATGCCCCAAAAAAGGAAACAAAGTGCTACAAAAAAGTCGCGCCTTTAACTCTTTCCTTGGGATTATTGAAAATGTTTTCTCTCATTGCTGTCATGTCTTGTTTGGCCATTATCCTGACTGCCTTTCGCGTCTGCGATATCCTTCGCCATGTTATTGTTATCCCTATTTCTCTGATGGGGCAAAGTTTAATGTTTCACTTGGAAAAGGATTCGAGTTGCCTGTGGGGAAACTTTGCTGGCAAGTCGTTAAAATCAAATGGATATTGTCCCAAAGGGGGAAAGCAAGTAAGAATCTCTGCTCCGAGAGTTAAGTATGCAAACTAAGGGCCTTCCAATCCCTTTTTTTCATAACCTCATTTCAAGTTAACTTCTCCTGATTTCAAGGCGATCAAATCTCATTTCAAATGCAATCGGTGCACGAATTTAGCACATCAAAGGAAAACAAGCAGCCACGCCCATTTCGGACACGCCCACTCAGGCAAATGAGGGGAAAAAATGGTGGAAAATATTTGCACTACAAAGTAGCAGGAGAAAAACAAACGGAAAGCGCGAAAATATTTTCACAGTTGCAAATATTCGCTCTGCGATAAGGAGGAAAAACCAGAAAAAGTGCTTCAAAATCGAGGAAAAACTGTGAGTAAATATTTATGAAATATTTTCGTAGGGTCTGCAAATCAAATCAAATTGCTGACAGCCCCATTGAGAGAAAATGCCCTGATTTATGGGGAAAATTGGAGGGCGAACTTTTCCAGTTGTTTACTTGTCAAAGGATTGCAGGGAATCCCGGCAGATGTTTACCTTTTATTTTGCTTATCTAATAAAGTGCAATCCTGGGAGCAGACAATGCAATTTGCTGGGTATTTATGTTTCTCGATAAGCTCTTGTGTGGAAAACTGCACCTTGGGAAACTCCCTGAAAGTGACTTACAAAAAAGCAAAGTGTTGTGAGTTTGGTGAAATTAGCTTGCTGCAGTAAAATAAATTGCAAATTTCAGGACGGAAATTGAAAATTTATTGGCACAAAAAAGTCTTCTCTTTCTTAAGTTTTTGTTGAGGGATCCTTTGGTGACAGAGGAAAAGAGAGCAGCGATTGATGATCCTGGCTGTCAGGATACAAAGTGACAACATTTTGCATCGCAATCGGAGAAGAAACTTTTTCCTATTTTTCCTCTCCTATGAGGGACATTAAAAATTTGTTTTTCCCGTTTACTTGGGGATGAAATTTCGCAATGTTTTCCATTTTCCCTTTGCTCATTTCTCATGCTTTCTTTGGAGCGCCACAAAGTATGCAACACATGCAACTGAAGTTTCCGCGGAAAGTTTTCTTTTCCTGGGCTTTCCCTTCCTCCATCCTCCATAATAAGTTACGCTTAGTATTTTCTGCTTTTCCCCCAGCTAAGTGCATTTTTCACCTTTTATCAGTACTTCTTGACTCATTTTCCGCGTTTTTCCCTGGAGAAGTTTCCCGACTTCAGTCGAGGGTATGATGATTGCTTTGGTCTATGCAAAGTGTCTCAATTTGGGTTCATGTTTCCATTAGATGCTCCCTACTCTCGAATATTCCTCAGATGCGCATAAAGTATTTTGCAGATAATAAAAATTGGCAAACGGCGCAGAATTTATGCGCTGTGAAAACTCGTAAATTTTCAATGTGGCCCGTGATAAAAATCAGCAATGAAAACGCAGCGACATAATAGAAAATCCTCCTCGGAGAAAACTTCAGACTGTTGTTCTTTTTATGAAAGTTTTACGATTCTCTCAACTCCCGGGTGAAGTTCATATGGCAAAGGCCTTTGAGGAGGTCAATAAATGGATTATAAATATTAACAATCATTGATCATTACTGGTTTTCTGCTGAGTTGATTCTAATAATTTAATTTTTCTAGATTAAAGCCAATAAATAATAATTTAATGGGGTCCTCAATGGTAAAACCGAATGTTAGCTTTCTTCACTGTTATCCATCGTAATATTATTCTTGTTACTACATTCCCCGAAGCCATTTTCTTTCGTAAACTTTCTTTAATTTCCGGAGCAATAAATTTGAAGGAAAATTCATTCCAGTTTTAGTTGAAATTGCTGAAGATAAACAGAAATCGAATCTCCTACCCCATCCTCTCCGCATTAATTTAAACACAATTCAATGGCGACAAGAAAAGCGACCAAAAACAAGTGGCAGTCGAAGGGAAAGAGAGAGGTAGATAGACAAAGACAGAGACAGAGTGAGCGGAGCATAAAATCAACTTCAAGGAGAACATCTCCGAAAAAGATAAATAAATTAAAAGAAAATAAAATAGTAGAGAGGGGGGAGGCAATGAAATCGATGCGAAGGTCATTCCGGGTCAGCGATAAAAATTCCAGCAAACTTTTCCACCAAAGAGAAAGGGAGATCGGAATTAATTGCAGAGAAATTTAATTTTACGACAGGGAATTTCATCGTTCTCTTGGAAGACTCTTAAAGAGGAATAAAATTCCGCCAAATGGGAACGCAATGAAACTGGAAATGAATTGTCCATGATTTTTATTGAGTCTCGAATTAAAAGCGACGAAATAGTGATGGAAAATTCGCCGGCAAGCCATCCTGAAATGCGTGCAAAAAGTGCAACAATGGAACAGGATTTTCCCCATTTTCCCTTATTTACCCTATAAATTAATAACAAAAATGCTTGCATGTTTAACTGCGCCGTTAATTATTTGGGAGCGAGTTTTTTGAAAAAGGAAATCAGTGTTCCGATTTCAGTCTGCCTTTTCCCATTGTTTAAGGGGAGGAAAATACAAAAGGAATGAGGGCGTGGGGGTCAAAGGGTGTGCATGTGTGCTCTGGAAATATTTGAACAATTAACTTCTGCTTTTTGCTGTCCTCTGGCGGAAATTCGTGTGGTTTTTCGTCGTGGACACGTTTTCAGTTGAAAGTGGCACCCGGAAATTCAACAACAAAGTAATATTAATTATGATGCGAGGGCTTTAAGTGCGTGCTGGAAAATATCCATGTTTTTAGTAAATGAAAAAAAACATAAATAAGAGAAATATGTTAACTTAAATTCTGAAAATTTGAATTTTTCTTTTAATATAGTCTTTAATAAACATTTAATATTTGTCAAACATTTAAATGTTATGTAAATAATTAACAAATTGTAAATCTTCTAGTTGTTCATATTATATTACAATTTAAGTCGCAGCATTGTTTTCCCTTATAACAAATGAGGAGCCTTAAAGTTGATTCCCAGATCATCTATGGAAAACTAAAAGAAGATTCC